AAATAAATAATATTATGATTAACAATTTTATTATTTAATTTTATTATGTTTATTTCAATCTTAAATCTTATATATAAATTATAATACTACTTCAACTTTCTTTTTTTAATCAAAATGTTTCCTTAAATTATATAACAATTTTAGATCAATTTACATATATTTATAACAATTTGAATAAAATATAGAAAATTAAAAATAAACTATTTAATTTTAAGTAAAAAATTGATTCTTTATATACTTATATTATAAAATTTACGAGGACTTTATATAAAATAAAAGATTAAAACTAATCTAATTCGAATAAAATCTCAATTTTTTATAATAAATTTAATATTGTTTTTAAAAATTGTTTTTCTTAATAGCTTTTATTATTCTACTTATATTTCGATTTTGTTTAGGTTATATAACAATTAGTTATATATATAGCAAATAAATTCCTTATATTATTCCATTTTAATGAATTTAAAGCCCTATATTTATTATAGAATTTATTTTACTCTTGAAATTACAATCTAATAAATATTAATAATCTTAATATTCTTGGTGCCTTTGACACCCCTTTAAATAAAGCCAATTATATTCCAATCCTATTTTGTATTAAAATACCTAAATTCTTCTTTATTAAAAGAATTCAATTATATAAAGAAAACAAATATATTTAATATAAAAATGCTTTTCATTAGGTACAAGTCTGCTCATTTAATTTATATTAAAACATTTAGAATCGAAAAGAACTTGTTCTAATTATTATACTCATTTTTATTAACTTTTATAACAACAATAATAATAAGAATCTAAATGAAATAATTAATAATGTTACAGGAGCTGCCTCTAGGGTTATGTGGAAGTGTCTAGAGATCTTTCGAAATGGTTTAGACTAGACTTTAAATAGGAATTCAATAAGGTTGTAATTGATTACAATTCTCATAATTATAATAATGAAACTAATAATTGTTCTTGAGTATGAAGCTTTATATATAAAGAAACCCTATTCCTTATATAGACCTTCATTCTCTATAGAATCATGAGGCTTTGTTCTGCTTAGATCCTTTGGATCTTATAGATCTAGATATTTATTCTTCGATCCCCTAGATCCTCTAGGTCCGTCACGTGACCGTTTGGCCATGTGACGCGGTATGTTGAATACCGTCGTAACAAATAGCCGATATTTTAAAGATCGCTTGAAAGAGGTATAAGTTTCTATCAATACTTTCTATTTGATAGTAATATATTTAATCTTTTAAGGTATTTTATAAAAAATCAATAAAGAAAATAATAATAATAATAATGAAAAAGAGTTTTATTGATTATATTTTATATTTAAGTTATTTGTTTAAAATGAATTTAAGGCGAACTCTTTAGAAGGAGGGAATAGTATTATAATATATATATAATCGTATTCGATCGAGTTAATACAATACTAAGCTCTAAGCTGATCGCATATATAGCTCTATAGTACACTCTCTTTAATTCTATAGCTTTTAATTCTAAGGTTGATCTTTAAACGTTTATTAGGTTCGTTACAATTGAAGCTAATTTTAATTAAATAAAAAAAGAAAAAGAGATAATCATATAGAATAAACTAAAGACTTATAATTAATTTAAATTTTATAATACTAGCTTCAATATCAGAGTTTATATAATAAATCAAAGTTAAACTCTTTTAATGACTTTAAAGTTTATATAATTAACATAAAAGAAAATATATTAAATATAATAAGGTCTCTATTAATAAAACAGTTTTAATATCTAAAGCTTTTATAATATAATAATATAATTATTGATTTGAAAAATAAATTATAAAATAATATAATTGATAAATATTATATAATAAAACAATCTTCAAAATAAAAAATATGATGTTGTTTTAAATAAATATTAATTAAGTCACTTGATATTATTATAATATTAAGAGGATTAATTATAATAATAAAAATCTATTATTTTTATTAGTTTAAGAAGAATACGAAAGATGTAGTATTTATAGTATTTGTAGGTTCTAAATGTCTATATTATATTCTATTTAAAGAGTTAGTTATATATAGGAAGTTATAGATCTTATATAGACGCTACGAAAAGAGCTAGTCTCTTTCGTATTTACTTAGAACTTATAATATAGTAGCTAAACGAATTGAAGCTATTTACTAAATCCTAATAATTAGCGTTCATATAATTATTATAAAATAATAAAAATTTAACATTATAAGAAAAAATTTATAAATTCTTTATATTCTTTATATAAGAAAGAATACTATTATAATATGAAATAAAGAATTCCTTATTAAAATAGAAATTCTTTATTATTTCTTTATTTAAAGTTATAATTTATAATCTTAAAAAATTTAAAATATCATATGGAAGCTAGTCTAAATGCGGAATGACAAATGTAATAATAAATTTTCTTCATTAAAAAATTGATTTAAAATCGAAAAAGAAAGTAATTTCAAATCAAAATTAATTTTAAATTAATCTTATAATGTATATTATCTACGTATTATAGGCTGTACAAGGCGTTGAAAAAAGTATAAATAAGTAGTTAAGGTCTTTAAAGAAAGATTGTATTTTAGTCTTTACTTTTATAAATTTATTAAGTAATTAATCAATATATAAATCAAATCAAAATTTTATTTATATATTCTAATGATTCTATTTATACATTCTATAAGCCTAAGCTTATCATATAGTACTATTTATAGTATTATTCTTAATCAAGCCTAGTCTACCCCCTAGTAAGCGTATAATCTATAATATATGAAAATTATAAAGATAATTTAATAATAAACCGACTTCATCTATAAGCTTTTAATAAATTACTTTTTAAATTTTTATAATAATAAAAATTATTATGTTACACTTTCTTAAAAAGCAAGGGGTTCGAGGGCCCGTAGGCCTTCGATAATAATATTATTTAAGATTCTAAAAGCTAGAGCTATAAAATGTATTGCTATAGTATCGAAAGGCGCTAGCGGCAATATTAGTATGATTATATGATTTCTATCTCGATAATACTACTATCTCTTTTATATTATAATCTCCTCTTAGAAATCTCTCTCGAGTATTTAATAAAGAATCGTATTACTTAAGTACTATTCTAGAGCGAAGTAAAAAAGTCTTTACAATAGTAGTTAAGCGGTTCGTTATCTATATTTTTATTTAAAGAGTTAATAGTTAACTTTTATTTTCTATTACTTTCATTCTGAGATGTATATATATATAATAGGAAATCGTTGATATAGAAAGTTACTCTCTAGCTTTACGAATATAACTATCGATAGTATTTATATATTATATATCTCGAGATGAAATTTCTTATTATAAGTAGCTATATATATATTATAATATTAAACTATTCTCTAAGATATTAACTTTCGACGCTCTTATAGTCTATATAATAACGTAGTTTATCATCGAGTAGACTATATTATCGAATAGACTACTTTAAATATATATAAAATTCGTTTATATATAATCATACACTTTCTTTATTTAATATTATATTTTTTCAAAATTTGAAACTATAAAACTCGATTATATAAATATTATAAAATTTAATTATTTATCGAAAATTTGAATTTATATAATAGTTATTATAGAAATAGTTTTTAAGTAATGAAAATCGTAATAATTTTCACTTTCAATATCAAATAATAGAAATTTTTATTTCAAAACTAAATTTTTTATAAGAGATTTTTTATTATTAATAAAAATTTTTTCTTTTTTAAAAAATAATAATTGATTATTAAAATTTAAATATTAGCTTTTTCCTAGAGTAATTTTCATATATTTTGAAGTAGTCCACTCGATGATATTACATACTCGATGATAAACTACGTTATTTTAAATAATAAAGTCTAATTAATTAGATTAATAATCTTAATGCTTTTTTAGTTATTTTATTTATAGAATAGACTCTTGAATTCAAATTTTGATTTTTTAATTTAGAAAAAATCAGTAATAGCAAATTAATATATATTAATAAGAGAATTTTTTAGAAAACAAATTAATATTAATTCGATTTTATACTAGTAATTAAATATGAATATCGAATTAAATTTCAAGAATTGTAATAATTTAATTAGTTAATAAGATTCTATTAAACAAGGACACCGAAAGTTAAGACCTTAGGGGATAAATATTCGTTTGTTTTTCTACTAATTAAAATGTATTACTTAAGTTGCTACATGAGATCAAGATGATTATTATATCGCTCTCAGTACATGTTCAAAAGTACCTATGTTTACTATGTTATCTTGTCTGTAGACCGCTTTATGCTTCTTGCTCATTAAAAGTGTGTTTGTATACAGGAATCTACATCTGGCAACAGTTTCAGACACAAAATCGGGATACTGTGATTCTTATATGTCTCGATTACTCCGCAGTCCTCATTTGAGTGGTGAGCCCATGCCACTTCATTGATTAGACGATATTTCATCGTGCCTTCCCCATCAGACCAATGGTTCTTTCTTTTTCGGTTCAGTCACTTGCGAAATCTACCAGAAACAACTCCAGCCACCTTTTCCATTGTTCTTCATTGGCCTGCTTCGAAATAAATATCCTACATGGGCTGGTCCGGCTTCGCTTTCACTACTGTTCCATGCATCTCAACTTCATCTTCTACAAATCCTTTTCGTTTCCCAAGTCGGCAGAATCATCTTCCTTTCATCCTTTCCAAGCCTGATAGGTGAATTCTACTTCAGCTTTCAACAAACCCAGTCTCTGGCTACCAATGTAATTGCCCTACTCCTTTTGATGTTGTCGGCGATTTCAGACAGTCACTCCGATCTATCTGTTTTTGAATTCCAATTGCTGGCATTCAAATTGTGAGAGCAATTCTCTTCTCAAAGTTCAATTCTATGACTTTTTCACATTGGTCCTCGAACTCATTTACTCAAAAAGACCCCCAGTTTCTTCTTTAGATTATTGTCCAATTAGATCTTGTACTTCCGGTACAATTGGACAACTTAACGAACCGAGCGACTACCAGAATTCCGCTGTAAAATATGCCAAAACCTTTAGGCGAGGGACCCAAGGGAAAGGTCTCGAATTCACGTAGGGGGCCAGCCCCCAAAGATCGTGATGAAAATGGTAGAATTATCGGTAGTGAGACTTCTAAGGCGTCACGCAAACGTCATTGTGCCCGAATCACCATGGCATCACTCCAAATTGACGATGAGAATGATGATCTGAGCCAATTTACACCCAGTTTCGCCGATAATTCTCATTCGCATAATACTTGGGGCATCCCCTCTTCCGCGACGACTGTAGCCCCAAAGCGCAAGCGTAAACCCGCCAGTTCCAAGCAGCTACCAGGACTCGGGCGTAATTATGCAGCACGCAATGCAGGTCTCTTCAACCGCTACCCAGAACTGTGCAGCCCTGAAACTACACCCGAGCCAGTGGAAACAAGCAGTCCAACTCGCTCTCCATTCCTGCGCTATCCTTTGGAAGTCCGTGAGCGAATCTATGGATATTTTCTTCGTTCTCCAAACTCGATCCTCGTGAACTATGATTGGGAGGCGGTCGAACGCTGTCCCGATTTTGTTGTCAAAAAGATATTGTATATATGCAAGCAGATCAGTGCAGAGGCTCTCTCATTCCTCTATAAAAATAATACCCTTCATGCGCTGCTCCGGGAGAACATGTCACGCCTACCTGCTTGGAGCATCCCAAGGATTACAACCACCTTTCTAAATTTGGTAAAAAATGTGGTCCTCGAGTGTCCAAAAGAGAATTGGGATCTGGAATGGTATTACAAGGCAAAAGAAAGCATCGAAGCCTTGGTAGTGGCGAAAACAGTACTGAAAACATTCACCATCGTGTTGACACCGCGGCAGGTTGGCTTCACTTCGACAGCTTTGGGATTTGAACATGCTCCTATAACTTTCGCGGATTTTCTATGGGAAGATGGGGAGGTAATGAAAGCTATTGTGAAGTTGAGCTGCAAGCAATCAAGGATTGTTGTGAAGAAAGGTGATGGGAGGAGACTTGTTCTGAAGACAGATATTCATGGTGGAATACTTGCGACAACGAATGATGAGGAGAACTGGTTTAAAGAAGATAAGGTATACCAGCTATCAAGACTCTCTTTGCAAACTAGCGTGAAAAAAGAAGTGGCTGAATTGAAAGATAAGTTCGAGCAGATCTTTCATGACGAGGAGAAAGCCGTTGAGATGGTGCAGGGTGATGGATTCAGGCGAAAGATTAGTCAACAATCATCGTCGGCTATCTAAAGGAGCAAATGGTTGATGGGTGAACTCAACCTCGATTTGACTCTGGATGTTCTCCTTTGTGAGAAAACCCCTGATTATTTACCTCACATCTTTGGAGGGGTCTTCCTTGCTAGAAGCTTCAGGATGACGGTGCTCAATATTTTTCAAAGGAAGGTTGATCATTATTTTTTCCAAATCTATTAGTGCGAGTCGGCGCTATTTTTCACCCGCTTTCATTTCTGCTTCTTCTCTATATCTCACCATAGTTGATATCAAATACATACAGGAGGGTCCATTGATTGTTTAGCAAGCAACCAGCGACTATTTCGAGGAGAAACTCTCGTTCCATCCTCAATAGGTTATCATCTGCAACTTACATGATCTCATATTTTTGCATTTACTGCACAAATTTTACCGGCAGATAATTTTTGTTCGGCGGTATCAGCTATCGTTGATTTCTTGAACTCATATGCATTTGTTAATTTTCACGCAAACTATCTTAGTAGACGAGAATTTGCAAAGTTTTGCAAACATCTCGCGGGAAAGCTGGATTCTCGGAACAGCCGAGGGGCTAAAGGATTTGAGGAGATTTCCAAGGTTGTGTTAGGAGGGAGGTTTTATATTTCTCCTTTAGTACAGAATTCATATCAATTCTTCGGGTATAACAACGCGTGTATGCTGAACTACAGTGCTCGTTTGTTCTTCCAGAAAACTAATTTAGAATTGACGACGGTAATATGGTCTGATTGTGTCAATCATCCGTTGAATATGTTATAAGCATCCACGTCGTGACAGGTTGAGAACAATTTTGAATGTCTCATCTTCTAATATACTAAATCACCATAGGAAAAAGCAGAACACTTCGTGTTCACACCAAAGCTTGAGCAAACATAAACATAAAAAGTAGTATTCACAACACCATCATAGATTCGAGGCGATAAGAATACATGAATACGAATCTCACATAAACTTACTAAAATAATAATCGTGATAATCTAGCTTCTAAACAAGGAAACTTTGCCCACCAACTTAAAAGTGGTTAATGTATCCATCCAAGTAAGTAATCTAGCTCATATACTTGGAGAGAAAAAGAAAAAGAAATAACAATTATTATCATTTTTGAGGTATGAAACATCTCTAAAACTTTACCCCTTCCACAATCACATTATATCACATCATATCACATCGTATCATCACATTACCTGCCTAAATACTATACCCACTCAGAAGTATATTCATCGACGCTTTCATATAAATAGTCACCTAATCTAATCTATTCTAGTCTAGCTAGCCTCCAATCTTTGATCTAAGTATGTGTTCGACGTAACAAACCACAATTAAAAAAAGTGTAAAAGCAAGTTTGGCGAGATAGATCGCCTATATTAGGGTCATTCGTATGTATATATCATGGGTGATTATGTATACTAATGATGAGCGATAACTATAAGCCGAATGACCAATCAATGGTACAATCAAAAATCAGCTGCTGTGCTATTGTGTTCTGTTTGCGTGCATTTCAGTCTTGGGATGCGTGGGGATGCTATACTACAGACTAAGGACATATTACAGAAACATGTTCAGAGTATCCGTTCACCCGTTAAGCTACCGAGCCCACGTAGTTATACAAGTCATCTCAAAATACAAGAAAGGTGAAATTTCTAACGCTAATGATCACTATCATAAGGCAGAGACATGCTTCCCATTCCCTCTGCCAATAACGAGGCAATAATGCTGTGATCCTCCGGACCATGAGACCACCACCCATGCTTAATCGCGCAAATAATCGTTACAACACATATATATGTGTATCCACCCCCACCGAAACGCCGTCCCGATGAGTTGAGTGAATTATTCCTTTACTGTGCAAGAGCACCACCACCTGGTGGCCCCTTCGGTCCTCTATCCTCGGGACCTTGGCTTCCAGGGATTGGTGCAAGTGCAGTGCCCATACTTTCAGGTACTTTTATGCTTCCCGAAGGAGAAATTGTCCTGCCTACCAATTTCTCTCCCTTGACAACTTTGAAGGCTTCTTCTCTATCTAACGTCTCGTAGTCCACTAAAGCCTTTGCCAACAGATCCAGTTCCTTACGCTTGGATTCGATGAGCTTGACAGCACGAAGACGAGCCTCCTCGATAACGCGTCTGACTTCAGATTCAACAAGAAGCTTGGTTCCTGCGGAGAGATGCTCGTAGTTCGTCATCAAGTCAACATTTCCAAGCTCAGGTGACATTCCAAATCTAGTGACCATACTATATGCAAGGCTTGTGGCGGTTTGGAGATCCTGTTCACAAAATTAGTATTCTTCCGGTCCCTCAGACCTTTTAATTTAGTTATAAAATGGGAAGACCTACGCTAGAAACTCCACTAGTGACCTTTGTAGGACCATATTTGATTTCTTCTGCCACTTTACCTCCCATACAGACGTCAAGCCTGCTTTCATACTCATCCAAAGTCATTGAGTACTTATCCATTGCTGGCAAATGGAAAGTTATACCAAGAGCACTGCCTCGGGGCATAATCGTAACTTTGTGCAATGGATCTGTTCCTGGGGTAAACATGAGAACGAGGGCATGCCCTGCTTCATGATACGCTGTCATCTCCTTTTCCTTCTGGGAAATAACCATGCTCCTTTTTTCCGCACCCATCATTATTTTGTCCTTTGCCCATTCGAAATCCAACATAGATACCGCTTTCGCTTTCGCTCTACTGGCGTGCACAGCAGCTTGGTTAATCACATTCTCGAGTTCCGCGCCCGAGAAGCCCGGTGTACCAGAAGCAAGTGTTTCGATGTTGACATCAGGAGAAGCAATTATCTTTTGCATGTGATGCTTCAGAATCGCCAATCGACCACGCACGTCTGGTAACCCAACGACAACATTTCGATCGAATCTGCCAGGTCGTGTAAGAGCCTTATCTAGGAGTTCTGGGAAATTAGTAGCAGCCAAAATGATAACGCCATTGTTTTGTGCAAATCCATCTAGTTCAGTAAGTAGCTGATTGAGGGTTTGCTTGGAATGTGCGGCATCCCGAGCTTTTCGTGTGCCTCCTATAGCATCCAGTTCATCGATGAATATAATGGCTGGTGATTTGCTTTTAGCAGCAGCGAAAAGTTCTCGAACTCGCTTTGCACCAACGCCAACATATATCTCGTCGAATTCACTACCAGACATGAAGAAAAATGGAACGCCCGCCTCGCCAGCAACCGCACGGGCCAATAAAGTTTTACCAGTTCCAGGAGGGCCAACGAGCAAAACGCCCTTTGGAAGTTTGCCTCCGAGCGTGGAGAACTTCTCCGGATTCTTCAAAAAATCTACGAGTTCTTGAAGTTCATCCTTTGCTTCGTCACATCCATGAACATCCGTAAACCTGACATTTTGGTGTTCAGCCTTGGCCTCGTTATCGGCTTTAGCTCCTCCAGGTCTTCTGACAACGATTGAATTGAAGCCTTCAATCATCATAGCAACGACGACCAGACTGATGTACGTGAAAAGTGCGAAGTAGAGAGCGAACCTGACCCATTTGAAAATAGTGTTGCCTATGGTTTCATCAACAACAACATGCATAGGAGAGTTTTTGTCGCCAGAACCAGATGCTTGACCGCGAGACATAGCAATATTACCTCCGCGAGAAGTAGCAGCGACTGCTTGACCAATAGCCTGTAATTGCGCGTTGCCAACATTTCCTGCTTGTCCGGAAGGATTTGCCATGCCACCGTTCATTTGTCCCAACATTCCTAGAGCTCTATGATATGCACCTTCACAAGCAGAATTTGATGCGAAATGACCAGTTTGATACCTGTCAGCAATGATGGCTGGCATATTTGCCTTCAATAGCGCTTGGTAGAGAGCATTCTGAGCCGTGGCACTAGTAGGATTCTTGTTTGCAGTTTCTTCCAAGTGAGAGAGTAAATTGTGTGATGTGCTACCACCGAAGAGAGATCTTTGCTGAGATTTGAAGTGTTTGGTAAACGGCATCGACTGCTGTGGTCGTAGAGATGAAGACGTAGATATTTGTCGGCAATGAGTCATGGCCAGAATAGATGGAGATGGATTCATTGAATTCGCAGTAGAGATACGTTTTGACACCGGGATAAATGCATTTCGAAGGCCTGGGGACATTGAGTCTATTCGTAGGCTAGAAGGTGGCACAGGAATCGATCTAGTCGAGAGCTGCGACGACATTAGTTAGGCCAATTCAAAAGAGAAGAGGTATTTGTTTCTACGAACCATTCGCGCCGATGGAAGTGACATCTTCGCAAAATGGGATTCCGGTGCCTTCCGAGCCAGAAGTCTTAAAGATGTAGCCATCGTGGAAAACCCATGAGTTGGTGTTGCCATGACTGGCAGAACCAAATAGAATTAGATTGTAAGCACCTCCTATCAACCACCGCCAAGTGAATTCTTTTAAATATTTCTCCTTGCAAAACTGGTTGACTGTATCAATACTTCGTCGACAAAGTCTAAGAAATGAAGTTTTGTTGAGCCTCGATCTCGAGGACGTCTTGATTGTTGATGCCAAACTGGAACACCGAAGGCAAACTTGTAAATCACTTCCGGTAGTGCATCATGGAAGAAGGCCGCTTATTATTTGACTAAGCTTATTCTGGGTTAGCGCGGCATGCTACCCACCAATCTAGATCTTGTTCGACTACCAACACGTGTTTATCAAAACGGTACTTTAGAACTACTACCTAGTCGGTATGTAAATTTACTAAGGAGACATCTAGAACGTATATGTCATGGATATCTATCGTTTACTCTTGAGACATCGCTCCGGGAAATGTATCAGGGGCAATGTTTAGGGAAAGCGAGAGTGCAAGAAGTCAAGGACTCATACAACGTGCCGAACATTAACCTACATGAGCCTAACAAAGTCCTGAAAGATTCCTCGCTTACATCAAGTACTAGAGTTTCTTGTCTTGAATACACACAACTAGAACCTCGTCTTGAATCACCGGTAAGGAAAAAAGTAGGCCAAGTTACAAAGTCTAGATATAGATGGTATTATACTATTCATTTAGCTATTTACTACTACTATAGATACACACAAGACTTTCCAATCCAAATTGGATACCATATCCAATTCCGATTCCCTTGTCCAAAACTAATAAACATTTAAATAAGTATTGATACAGATGGCAAACCCGGCCTTGATCACCAGTCTCTAGGCACAAACAACACGGTACGCTTCCAGGTGCGCGAGTATATAACATAAAGAAATGACCTCGTTGAACTCGTGGCGCCATGATATCACCTCCTCATTATGTACCCTCTCTCCATCTTCCTCCACCTCAACCCCCTCCCCGGCCAATATTAGATCCAGCTTCATCTGTACGCAAAACCGGACGGAAACTACCATAAAACAAGAAAAGTAAAAATAAAAAATAAAATAAAAAGTATGTGAAAATGCCACGACAAGCCGATTATTCCGAAAGGGAGGGCTGGAATGTCTGGCTGACGGATGAGATGCATTCGTGAATGTCGTTAATGTACTAGGTATATCGCGGATAGACTTGGAGAAGTGAAAACTTTTGTTGATGAAGCGGAACAAACTGCAGTCCTGTGTGCCTCAGTCCTTGGGTATACGACGTCTTATTAATGATACAATCGCTAAAGAGAGTTTCGAAACGAGCGTGTGTTTTGACTGTTCAGTATTGTTACAAATTCTCAATGCGAGCACTGGGCATTTGTAATGATGGATCATCAAATGTCTCGAGCTTATGCCATGGATCGCTGAAGACAGTGACCTGAGGATACATTGGCACGTGGCTGATCACTTCAGGTTGTTGGTAAGGAGTACTCTCATACCACTGACCATGCTCGGGAGGTTGTGGATATTGATGTTGCAATTGATGCTGTACTTGCGGGACTGGTGATGAAATTGATTGAGGTGTTTGCACGTGCTGCTGGTAATGAATCATTGGCTGTGGTTCAGTTGGCGACTGGCCGTGAATAGCGTATGTAGGAACGTGAACCGAGTGCTGGGTGTGTGTGTAGTAAGGTTCTTGGGAGACTGGGCTAGCGCGGGAGTGAGAAGAGTAACTACCGGGGCTGCTTTGTAGTATCTCCTGAGGGTGTCTCTCCATGGAATGTCGAGGAATGTGGTACGTTTGAATTGGAGCCGGATTGGTGTTCAAAGTTGCGACTCCAGGGTTGTTCTGTTCGGGGACATAGTAAGATGCGTGTTGGAGACTAGGCTGTCTTTGCATAACGTGATGGTGCTGATCTGGAATAGGACCGAATGCCTGAGGACCTCCCGACAGGCTGTGTCTGTGGGCATACGCTTGTGGCATGGGATACCCATCAATCTGTTGATGTTGTCCAAAATCCGCGAATGAGTGTGCTCTGTGCATCTGATGTGCATGTGGAACACCTGGAACTGTCAAGTGTTGAGGCCACTGAATTTGACTGGAGTGATGTTGAGGAGTAGTTGGCGATTCCCCACCATCAGAATCAGATGTCTCACCGTCATCAAGCTCTGATGAATGGATGCCGCGTTGATGCGAACGTCTTTGATGCTTGACCATGGTAGTCTTTCTACAAAAGCTATTGCATATTAGTGCTGATCAAACTACAAGTTCTCTGTAGCACAAACCTTTTCAAACAACCATCGTGTGCACATTTGTAAGGTCTCTTGCCTGTGTGAATACGTCTATGACGGGCAAGACTAGATGACTGTGTGATATTATTAGCAATAGTTCCGTCAAGTTGTCTTTCCGTTTCTTACATCAGAAAATCGTTTGCCACAGCCAATGTGTTGACATTGATGAGGCTTTTCACCAGTGTGTGTACGGATGTGGACGGTCAAGGCACTTCTTTGGATGAAGCTTTTCCCGCATCCTGGAGTTACGCATGAGTAAGGTCTCTCATTTGTATGTATGCGATAGTGACGCTGAAGGTCAGATTTTCTGTTGAAGCTCTACATTCACTGTCAGCTGACATTATAGTCATTGCATTGGTAGGTCGTACCTTGATGCATGTTTTCCAATCGCATTGAAAGGGGCGTGCGTTTTGCTCGTTCTCAACTAGCTCCATGACGTCCATTATGTATTCCTAGATTCTATCGATCGAGGTTGAAGTGTTAAGTCTCAATGTAGGTCTGGTTGGTTATGCGTCCGATGTTGTGAACGTCTGATCGAGCAATGGAATGAGAAGTTGATATATAAGAAGAGCAGGTGTTGTGATTTGTTTGCTTGGTATGCAAGTGATGTCGAATAGAGACTCAATGGGGGAATCTTGTAAGATACAAAGCGTCCAGCGCAATAGCGTTGAGCGAAAGTGATAATTGGCGAACTGACTTGGAGAAGGCCCCGGCAAGAAAGTATTGTAAAAGGAAAGCTACGATGGTTCTCGTAAACTGTGTACAAGAATAGCACGAAACTTTCAAGGAGATTCTGAGGAAGTCAGAGAATTGAAGACTGGATGAGTTTGATGAAGTAGCAATGTGGGCAGGAAGAGTTCATATACATACTTTTTTTGGATGCGGGATGTGGACTGGAGCTTGTAAATCATCCGCCCAAACACGGAATGGTGGGGCGCACGAGCAATTGAGGGAAACTGTGAACGTGGTAAGGAAGTTAAAGTTGAGGTTCCTGGATCTAGCTCTAGCTCTAGCTTGTGCTGTGTCGGGTCATGCGAGTGGCTGGACAAGGTGTGAAAAAATAAGGGTTCTCGGCAGGTAGACTTGACTAACTGGTGAAAATATGGTCTGGTTGTTTCGACGTCAAAGTGTCTCTGAAGTAGTGTGGATATGTTAAAGTTGCGAAACAAGGACCATTCTTGAAGTAGAATCGTCGGGAATTCAAAGGCGGCCGAGATCGACGGCTTTAGTTTTCTGGAGAGGTTGAGAGGGATGATGGTTGTAAGCGTAGTTCTTGAATGTGGATTCAGTAGAAAGATGTTGATGTTGATGTTGATGTCCAGCTTTTTGTAGTGGGAAGATGCTTGACGGTTCAAAGCTTTTTTTAAGGTAGAGAATTTAGAGATAGCATGGCGCCTTGATAAGATATGAGATGCTTTGTAGCTCGATGGCAAGATTGCGTTCAAGATATTAGACTTTTTTCTGACTCGTACGGCTTGTATCTGCAATACAGTAGACAGTAGATGGATGGAATTCTCGTGAGTAAATACCTTTTTCCCCACGAAGAAGAAAGTGCAAGGTAACGAGGGACCCCAGTAGGATATGCGAGGATGATATTGTATACCAGGTAGGCAGTCAATCAGCATTAGCCAACAATGAGGTAGGGCAGTCAGGGCATCCCTCGATTTCCAATTGTCAATGAAGCAACTCAAGAAGGATGGCAATATAGGTACAGTACATATGAATGGATGGATCAATAGGTATGCAAGGAAAGCAGTGGATGCAATATCGATCTCAAGAGACAGGTGAGATTTTCACATCCGACTGAACAACCCTTGACTCTCGAGATGATAGTTGACCCTCTTCCCTCTTTTGTCTAATGATAATCCGATCGGTAGTCGAATGAGTTGATGATTAATGTGGAATTGAAGATTTTGAGTTATATGAATATGTTGATGGAAGTGGAGTCCGATCATAATTTTGCTTTCTCTCTTATATGATAATAAATGCTAGAATGAACGGTTTTGTCTTCCTTGTTTCTTGTCTTGTTGCTTTTTTTGGCTTCCCATTTCTTATTGCGTGTTGTATGTAAACTTCGTCCTTTCTTTCGTTTTTTCTCTTCGTTCGACACAAATCGTCTCCATCTCTCGGAGTGACAGATAGAAAAGTGGAAGTAACCCAAACATTGCATTCCGTAAGTACCTAGGTATTCTACCGTACTCATGGTGTTTGTTTTGGGCTTACTGATACAACGAATTGTAAAGGAATTAGAGGTAGACTATTCTCCTTTGAGGCGAAGATTTAGATATTAGCCGTTCACTAGTAAACCATTCCGTCCTGCAGTCTGCAGTCTGCAGCAGGTCTGCATCAGAATCCATACATGGGGCTCTTGAGTAGTATCATATCATTGGACTGATGAAGGACTGGCTGGGACCAGGAAGCTTCTTTTTGAAGTTGGAGATATAGGGAAAAGAACAAGGTTAGTTGTTCGACAAGGATAAATAGTGGGATTTTCAGGTCCCTTTTCCGCTTTTCGCTTTCTGCCGCACTTTCTTGGACTAACTAGCACCTGAGTAGTATAAGTGTCCAAGTAGCTTGTACTCTATAAAGTTATATTAGTCTTTTATACTACTCTGTTATAACTAGACTCTAAAGCTATCGCATTGTAGAATTTATATTGCCATCGGTTTGTTTCGCTTCTGATATACCTACAAGGTTAGAGATTTATATATAGTAGTTTACTATATATGTACCTATCATATACCTGATATGCTAAAAGGAAGTCTACTCGACGATAACTGGATATCTAGTAGTATTATATCAAGGTTTTAGCGTCGGAGATACTTTCTGGAATGGTATGAGAAAGGAGAGACCTGAGTAGTCAGCCAGTCCCCCTTTACGATTCATATATATCTACTTTCTATACAAGGGCAAATTTCAATCTTTCCACATATACGCCACATATACTATACTACCGAGGAGACATCATTGAATACTCCATAAATATGACATAACTCAGTCGAAACTCGGATGTATAATGAGAAGATTGAGGTTATATAATAGAAACTTTGGGAATTATAAATGGGTTTCTAAGTTTTGCATGTATCTCGATATAGTTACAGTCGAAAAAGGAGAAAGATTTTACCGTGGCTGTCAACTGGAAGTAGCAGTCATCATTATGAAGGCTTGCTTGTCAGCTCGTTCATATGGATAATTCTGGCTACAGCTTTCTCTGATAGACACAAATAAGTACTTCGTACTTCATCTTTGAAAATTGTTTATGGGCGAAGCTCCGAAGGGCGAGACAGGAGGCCTTGTCGGTTGTAGTCACCCATAGTCTTTCCCATGCAAGGATATCTCGCCCAAGATAGCTCCTCGACTACATGCATGGATTCGACTAGCATAAAGTGTGGTGGAGTCGTCACGTTACAGTGAAAACAAAATTTCTCAAGGGGAGACCATGATTCTCCATCGTGCCGGATCTCGCAACAGCCCAGACTATCCAGTAAGAGATACTCCAGTGCGCCTCAATATGTCCTGCTAAGCCCCAAGATAATATCATGGCTAGATGTCGTTCCACTGATGATGTTGGAATGACTCTTGTTGCATTGTCGAGTTCTTGAAAAGATTGCAAATACTTGATTTAGCACTTATCAATTAATGACGCCTATTGATCTTAGAACTTAGAGGGGATTGACTTCACTCTATTGACTCGAGTCTCTAACACTCACGTTACTTCGAACCATGAGACGTTGGCGATAAAAATCACAGGATCAAGGACACAAATTCCTAATTCCCCGAATAATTCTCATGCCAGCTTTTCCGGAGCAATCTTGGCATACTCTCTATCTCCGATGATAATGATGAAATTGGGTTCCCTTTTCGGCCGTTAGAGAGGTATAAGAGGATTGTGATATATCCTAATTCGGACAGAAATATTAATTAATACTACGAAAAGGTACTAGAATCAAATGCTGTTGATGGCTAACAGGAGCTCGAACCAAGACGCCACCTGGTAATTTCAACGAAATACTTTGCTAGCATAGCAGCAGTATTGCCTTTTTGATATTCTTTCCTTGAAGCGAATTGGAATCGCGGTTGATGACCTAACCCACGAGCAACGATGTGATAGAGTAGACTCAGTAGAGATGTTTGAACAATCTGACTAATTCTTTATCCTCCAAAAGCTAGATATACATACGCACTACCATTAGTGGCATCTAAAGTCTATCGTTGATAAGATTGTACATCGTAATGTTGCTCGAGAGAGAAGAGAGTCATTTGATAATGAAATCATGACTGATTTGAGTTTTTGGAAAATTTACGGTGGCAGACATCCTGGTTGAACTCATTCTCGATTGGGATTTTCGAAGGACATTTTAAACCATTCGGCATCGTTCAATCTCCCTTGTCTCACGGATGCGTGCCGTCCACACGACTTCACAAACCTTGTTCCCTCGCGATTACAAGGAATAAGGTGAGTGGTAGTAAAAATAGTGTTCGGAGTAATACGGGCTACAAGTAGAGTTAGCACCAAAAGCTTCGAAAAAAACAGTTTAGTTTTCGTTTTAGTTTTATAAATACTATACGAATACTCAGTAAACAATCGGTTGAAGCCTGATATTGTAGGAATTTACAGAAGGAAGTATAGAGGAGATAGCCTTGGAACTCTTAAGATGCAGCCAGCAGTGATACAAACTTCAAAGATAAAAGTCTGTGGACATTTACGATTTGTTATACAATTAGGCGAATGAAATATCGTTTACCTCAAGACACCTAGGCAAAGTGAATTTCTAATTTGCTGCATCTACCTACCTACGTATTTGAGAAGACAATTCTTCAATTGCTGAGTTTATACGTCAATGTCGGCCTCTTGACTGAAACCAAGTCAATTCATCATACATGTAAATAATGTTTGCAAATCCTCCTATTCGCCCAATTCTCTGCGACGCTGCAGGAACAGTTGCATTATCCACAATGAAACAAACCTTTTGTATATATAACCACTAGTTGTGACCTTAATATCAATCACCAGCATGAATCACATGCCAGGTACTCAACTGCTCATCATTTCTTGATGATCTCAAAGGTCATCTCTTTGGGTCTTTTGGTCAATGGTCCAAATAGAGCTAATTCTGTGATGTACTTAAGCATCTCCCATGAGATTGTTATTCCTTCAGAATACAAGCAAAGGGATGTTGTTTCCGACTCATAACTTGCCTCACTATACCTCAACGGCAGATTAACAATGGAACTCATGATATCTACTACCTAGTCAAGCCAGGTACAAAATTCTGAAACATGCAGTAAATGCGCGTGTTCAATTTTTCCCAGGCCAACGCGGGGCAAGCACACAGATTTGCGTCCTTTGCTAATTTAGCCGGCTGAAATGGGATTTTCACCAGCATGCCATTTCTATATCCTATCTATAAACAACGGTTCTGATACGGAAAATGGATAAGGGGTTCAAGTACAGGGATTCTGCCAGGGCATATATGAAACGACTTTCGAAACCCTCAGACTATCTTACACATCGGCATGTATCCTGATGCGGCATCGCTGTACTAACTTGTATTCCAAATTGAGTCTCCGCGCCCCCAACTATCTTGGAATTGCCATGAAAAGGAACCCCGTCGTAATGATGCTTCTGGATAGTACCTGAGACGATGAAATTCACGGGAAGCGACAAATCTTCCTGCTCCGCCATCAGGCGACGTGAAATGCCTCATTCCCCGGGAGACGGCTTGTGTTTCCTCGGCGGTATTCATTGTAGACTTGACAGAAGGCACACCTTTCATGTTTCTAAATTCGTGGCCCCTTGGTGAATATCTTACGGATTTGTCCTGACTTCAATCATTTAACCACGTTTGCAAACTGATGTATGCCTTCAACTACGAAAAATCTTGGTATCCGGATTCGAAACGAGCGATACAACGTCGTCTGTACCGAAAGCCTCTACATGTTTGTCTAGGCAGTTGATAAGCAACAGTCATCTGAATGTTCTAGCTTTAAGACTGCCCGCACCGTCGCTGCAATTCTGCAAAACCACAGGCCAAGTGTTCATGAAATCAAACGTGGCTTCTGGTTGATACGGAGAAGTCTTCAAACACAGGTCAAACGCCGGTCACAAAATCACATTGGCATCATCAAGTACTTGTTAGATGGCAACAATCAGATCCACGGCTAGCTGTGGTGGCTACAATTGTGCAACCCGAAATCAATAGATCACGCTACAGTCCGATCGTACCTACATAACGCGACGGGTTTGTACCGCGGTGATTGACAATATCATCCTGACTCAATTCATTTCATGGCTTAGTTTATACTTCGTAGAGCAAGCATCCTCTCAAAAAATTGCGGGATTTACTACTCGCCAGGCATACCGGATGTTGAAAGGCATAATACGCTACTGTTAATTACGCCACAATAAATGATCGTGAAGCTGTCAGCTTTATTTGGTAAATTCACTGCCGGATCTGCTCTCTGTTTTGTTTTAGAAAAATTGCAAGTCCATTTCCATTTCCAGACTAATACCACGATGCACTTAAGGATTTGCAAAACAATACTTCGGTAAGGTCATACGAGATTTGGGGATCTTCAATAGAACTCTCCTATCTACCTAGTGGATATTCGCTTTAGTCTCAATAATCCAGTTCGTTTCTGTTACCTTTACGGCCAATTTCTAATGCAGCTGCTGATATTTTCGGCTTAGTCTGGGCTATTCTTCTTCATTCCATGCATACATGGAGACAGAGTGCATCATCTTCAAGTATACCCGTTATGCATATGCACAAGAACCCAGTTCTTTCATGATAAAAGGAAGCTCAACGTTCACAGAAGTATCTCTCAAATTTGTACTATCATATCACCGCGTGAATGGTTCAAGGGCCATTGAAATCGGAGAAATGCTATGCAAAGTATCACTGCCGTGGTGCAACTACAAAGTATATCCATATGCTAGCATCGTTATTACAGTGGAGAAGCACATGATAGCTACCGTGTGCCGATCCAGAACGTGCGTAGCATGAGTCCAGTCAACAAAATCCAGGGGAAGTAGGAGACTAATAATGAGATTAGCAATTGAAAGCATGGCGGGGCATGTATCTCCATGAATCTTAAGATCATAGTGATGTCTCATAGATACTGTAAATTAGTCCTCGACAATCCTAATTATATGAGTGATCCGAGTCAATCAATCCTGAGGTGACTCTCTCGCTTATGCTTAATATGATTAGCATTGCGAAACAATCACCAAGTGCCGTGAATTAGATCGAATGCCGGGCAATACGACCCGAACTAGTCCTTCAAATCCTTCCCGCCACAAGATTAGAATTGAAAGTAATACACAATCATTATCTCAATATACCTAATGACTGGTGGGGCAATCCAATCTCCTCTAATCACTCATCACATCTTGTAACACGCTTTGAAGTATCGAATAATCTCAAGTCAATGATATGTGTAATCTTATACTCACAGTTCAATATTTGTCAAACCGGGAGTCGAGAGGGAGATATCCGGGGAAGGCTTATATTGTGTGTGACCAAGAGAGAACGAACGGCCACTTGCCGAGTTAGTACCTGCGGGGTACCAACTCGTCATTCAACGTATCATTATCGTTGCTTTTTTCTCTCTTAAAGATAAGAGTAAGACGCGGGAACATCCCGAACAGAAGCAGTATCAAATAGTGTTTTCTTTTGCTTCATTATCAAACAGCTGTAGGAGTTCTTCGCCTTCGCATCGCCAATACACCAACGGGCACACCCGACATCATTTGTGGTTACGTCGTGCTCCAGATGCGTTTGCTCTTTCGCCAATTAAACACATCCATTATAGAAACCTAGCAAACCTAGCGGGGTGTGCGATCATCAGTACGTATGTACAATATACAATAATAGCTGGAATATCTCCGACTGCAATTCTGTAATTTTAGCGAATCTTGTACGACACGGCCCGGCACGGGTCGAGAGGAAATCGTTTTGCGCTTCTCCTCTTATCTATGTGTCTTGTTGCAACAGACCTGGTAGTGAGACATCCTGTCACTTACATATTGGGCTGATGCAACTGCAACTGACCCCGCATGCAAAAGGGGTGAATTATGAACAAAATCCATTTTATCAGATCGAGTGTGAATGCCTCGTATTTCTTATTAGTGGGGGCACAATCTCGTGACTTTAATTTCATATCAAGATCAACAAGTATCTAGGGAACCATGGCTGGCTGATCAGCCCCTTCTACCACGGCAAGCAAGTGCTTGGACGCTCGCGACGTGATTATACTCATCACATGATTACCTGTAAGAAGTATCTTTTCGATATCACAAATGTCTCATAATGATATCCACTTTTGGTTATCGCCGTGTCTTTTCAACAAGCAAGTCCAAGCGTACATGATCGCCTTTTACTTGTCAACTCTTTGAACTGTACCTTGCATTTCTCCAATTCGTGTACATGGCTTTTGCCAAGATTTTGATTTTTCACATGTGTGGGAGACAGATAGTAGTTGTCCTCCAGTATTGTCTCTCAATATCTCACACAATTCATCCACTTAAGACGTCACAAGAATGTAATTCAAGCTTCCGTTTGTCTCTTCACCTTTGTATAGACTCGCGCTATGTCACTTTACATGATCAGCTTATAATATGGGGCCTTGTAAATGCACTTGCGAGATCTTTTCCATCTCTAACCATCTTTGATGTTAATCATGGATCACAACTGAGAAAGGGTTCTAGCTTCTCAAACTAATCATAAACCCATGCCAATTTCATCACACTTGCAGACATGACATCGCTTCTTCTGCCTTGATTTGTGACTAGCCCTGAATACCATATTTGAGTATTCATTTTGTCACAATCGTCTAACTACAAAGAGTCTGCAACTCACAGTAAACACACAGACGTTGAAGATCGTGTAGACTCTACAAATATACGGACGTACTGTTTACATAGGCCCTGGAGAGTGTAAGTGACTCGATATTAGTGCTACTGCACTGACATACGATGAGTTGAACCGTTCTTCATGTCCCTTTAATTTCCACTTCATGTACCTTTTCACACATCACAAGCCTAAAATAGCAATACTCTCACTAAGATAGGTCTTTGACCACGCCAACCATACCAGAAATCTGCATAATCATCGGCTTCAACTACGAAATACGATCATCAGCCACTTCAAGAATCCAGGCGCGCCTCGATTCCCAAGCCCCTGGTATCTCCGCAACGCTGTATTTGTGATGGACCTGTACGCACGTTTTTTCTCTTCCCCTTTAGGGCGTGAACTGCAGCAACCACGTCTATCGATAGCAGTTTGAAGACCCTGGAACAGCTGCCCTGCATTGCGTTACATATTACATTGCATCGATCATACATAGATATACTCCGAAGTCCCGAAAAGCTTGGCCGTCATGGAGACATCCCAACGTCGGCGGGCAAACATCGTTGAATAGTTGGACGGTGAAATATACCTTGAAACATGGAGTTACTATTCCCTATGAATCGTCGAACTCCCATAACATTCAAGGTTTTCCTATAATCTACCCTGCTCATTTGCTTATTTGGATATGAACCGCACAGGAGCTACATGGCCTGTGCCAAGTAACTGGGAAAGTTCGTGGAAAAGTTAATAGTTAATATCAATGCTGAACAATGATCCTCACCCCGCGATCCAGCCAGGGCCAACTTCCGCCACCAATGATACCTGGAAGCGCATTTCATGCAATGCTCTCTCCTACCAGCTATCCATGTTCAATCTTGAGCTCTGAAAGTCTCTCAGAAGTTTCCTCGCTTCAAGGTCAGATTGTACGAGTTTGATTGGTTCAATTGTCACAATTTTTCAGTTGTTTGCAAGCTAACTTGCTACGTGTTTGTACTCCGCCACCTCTGTCAAGTTATCAACACAGCATTGGCTCTAAAGCTTCCCGCGCATAGTGGTAAGCTTTCCTCGGGAGGGGTTGGACAGAGATCCTGAAGCTACTACTGTGCCTCACTAGATATGCATTGGATTTAGAGCAGGCTGAAAAAGACTTTATTCCGTCCTGTCAATGACTCGAACATCAAGGCCTAATTTCCCCTCCATCTTCCTCACCTGAGTTACCTTGTGTGTATTAGTGACAGCCACATTACCACTCACCAACGCCCTTTGTTTTATCATATAATTTCCACGCAAATCATTGAGTCATTAGCGCTAGTAGGCTGTATAAATTCTCGGGTATACGAATCCGCTTCCAGCGTTCCACCCAACCACCATTCCCGGTTTACAACGATACTGCATAAAGTAAAATATTCCGAAATCCCAAGGGGAAATTCCCCAGGTAAGGTTACCAAAACCGTGAAAAGAAATTAAACTTTCCTTAAATTCTACGATTGGGACTCCGCAATCAGTACGCAGACATGCCTAGCACACACCTGACATTGGACCATTAATTGGCCACTTATTCTTATGGCCCGAGGCTCTCCCGAAGGAAAATTGCCCCATCTGCCTTCTGCCTTCTGCCTTCAGCCTTCAGCCTTCTTTCTAAAGCACCTTCTAAACTACAGACTACTACAAACCCGGCAACTGGTATCAACTAGATGGAAAGATAGATTGCCACATTCAATTTAACGCTACACGAGGTCGTTCCAGATCTCGTTCCAAATCTCCTCTCACGATCATGAAGTCTGCCAATCCTCATCTTACTCTCATCTAACTCCAGTGTGACATTTCAAGCTTCTCGCTACTCACTACCAATGACGATGGTAATGACTTCCAAAGTTTTAACAATCATGTTTGGCTGTTCATTCATCTCTGTACCCACTCCAACATCACGATCCACCACTGATACTAGGTTTCTATTAGTGTAGCACTACCCTGTAAACCCTAGAGAGATCACCACACGGATCCCTGTCGCTGATCAACACCTAATCCTTAAGAGCTCAAGATCTTTCTAGGCTCGTCTATACCTTACCAGCATCAACTGGAATTCTATCCCCACCATACCAATTCCTTGCTAGGTGGGCTATTTTCTCTCAACCGTAGTGGACGTAGCTAAACTTTCTCCTCTAGTCCGTATACGCCCTGTCTAGAAGATCTCGGATTGTTTACTATCAGAAATAACTTTACTGTTAATCTTACGATTCGTGCTACATTCAGCGATCCCAAAATCTGCATGCTCTAAGTGATGGACATTATATCCCACTGGCATATAGCTTTCCAAATTCCAAGCTACAGATATGCATGCACTCCGTACTGTACGTACAGTAGCTACAGTAGCTACAGTAAGGAACTTCTAGAATCATGCACTATTGACGAAGCTTGAAACTCAAATCTACACTGGTCAAAACGACATCATTGTATCAACAAACAAGTAAGTCGCAAGAGTTTATCGGCATCATCGAAACTCTGTTGACGAAGCTTCTGTTTTCTATCAATCGATGCCATGAAGCAAGCTCATCGAACATGCTAGTCCATATCCTTCTGTGATACGAGTCTAGAATAGCGGAACCAGACGGCTCACTTCCTTCTGTCTTTCCGATTGGGAGATAGCCGATCAACCATTGAATCAGTGACTTCGTACAAGGAGTCATCTATCTTGTACGACAGCCAGCCACTGAATGCGATTTCTTCCCGAGGCATTGTGTGAAGTGAGGAGAAAGGTGCCAGGACTTGATACTTGCTTTAACACCTACCCCGGTACGGATATTACTTTCAATACAATGTTTGCATTTCAAGTTTTGTCATTCCTTGTTCACCTCATTTTTTCGCCATTGGGGTATCCATTTTCCTCTGTGCGCGCCGCAAAGCCCGAGGTACAAGCTGAACCATGATGGGAATACCTTAAATCAAGTCTTGAGTTCAAGGCCTGTACAGATATCAAATTAAAGGGTCGGATCTACTACATCCATAGCCGTCACTGCGTTGCGGGAACTACGTGAGAAATCCGTGGACAAGTTTACTCTTGGCCGATTTGCAATTTTTGGCAGAGATTTCCACAGTGGACCCTTAAACACACAGACTGTACAGCCCACGAGGTTATTCGAGTGAGTGCTCGAGTGTCTTTTCACGGAGATGTAGGAGATAGATATGTTTACGGTAATTTCAAATCGATAGCTATCTTCCATTCTTGTTATTTTCACTATAGATCTCCGGTATGTGCGAAATTTTTGTCTTCAGAGTTTGTAATCCACATGGAATTTTAAATTATCATGTCTCGCTAAGAACTTCCTCTCTTTGACACGATACACCTCTCGCCGGCCAAGTATCTTCTCGCTGGAGTGTATCGGCAAATAGAAACTAATCAAAATAATTCCGCGAGCCCTATTGACAAATCTCGGAGACTGAATCTCCGAACATACTTCAACTATAATATTTGGAATCTTCTTCAAGCATGTATACTCTTGGTAATGGGCGAAATTCATCCAGGTAGTTAGGGGCCGCTATCACTCGCTCGCCGAGCGACGAGCTATAGAAGCTATCAGCAAAAGTTTTCCAAAAGTTTTCCGAAGGCTTGATGCTATTTTCCTGTGGTTAGACTACTTCATACTCATGTTACTGTCTTTGTCACCTCGATCTGTATTTTTCTAGAGACACTTGAGTATCTCCTTACAAAGATGATAGAAGTATGGTTAGTGCTATACCAAGGCGCTGCCTGTCCCTTACATAATGTCCCAGACTGCGATTTGCTGGACCATTGTGACTCCAAGATATTGAGATGCCTCGTAAGGCTCTTGAATGGCGAGCGTCTTCGAGTTTATCACTTTCGCCCTTCGGCAGGGAAGTCTCACACAGTAATCCAATATGAAACTATTCATTGGATGACCAAAATCAAAATAACCTCAAATTTGCGTTGAAAAGGAAAGATCCATGGCGCCGGTACCACGGCCAAGATTACCTTAGTGTTACCGTACATGCCTATAATATCGGTAGTATCGGTACATATTCCAAGCTGTCGCAAGCCGTGTAACCCGGGTAATCCGTTTGAAAAAGTAAACATCGTCGTGTTTCTCCGCAAACCCTGCAAAGCGGATGTTACCTAGTAAGCCGAGAAAAGCCACCGTCGCTATGGCTTCTTTTTTATTCGAAGTATTGGGCTGGAACAGTGTATCTCAGAAGGCCTGCTGCGATTTCAATTGGTTGTTGTAACGATTTGAATGGGGTGATCCACGACATATCAAAGGAAATATAGACTGATGATTGGGTATCAAACTTCTAATGTCAAGTAGAACATAGTTCTTATGCATAGCTATGCGTAGCTGCTTGATAATCAATCCCGATCTATCATTAATGACGAACGTCGTAAAATTTGATTAGGGACGTCCCAACCCGTGTGTGAAGTCGTAACTGTATGAACCAAAAAGTTCATCACCCACCAAGTCGGGTACCCTATTCTGGCCACCCCTGTTTTGAGCCACCTTTTATCATCAAATTTAACAAAAAAGCTTTTTAATTTGTATATAGGATTCATTAAAAATTTATATATATATGATTCAGTTTATTTTACATAGTTAATTATGAAATTTTCTAATTTTTAGGATTTTTTTGAATGAAGATTTAAAGCTTTAAAACATCGATTTTTAGATTTATATAGGAATTATATACAAATTTTACTTTTTATTAAAAATTTATCTATTAGAAATTTTTGATTTTTATAATAATTTTATAATATAATAATTCTAAGAAATTAAAAAAAAATTAAAAAATTCTAATAACGTAACGTATGGGGAACTCGGACATATGGGGAACTCGGACACTTTTAGCCCATCACCAACTTGAAACCGCAATAACTTTTATTATGCATACCCAATCACCTTCTACATCTGCTCAAATTGAAGAGAAGCTTCAAAAGGCTATAATTTCACTTCAATTGAAAGAATTTAAATCAATTAGAAAGGCTGCAGAGCATTTTGAAGTCCCTAAGTCTACCCTAGCTGATAGGCTGGCTGGGAAGAAAACACGTTCCCAAACCCACGAAATGGCTCAAATTCTTTCAAACGCAGAAGAAAATACTCTTGTACGATGGATTTCACGACTTACCATCACTGGATTCCCTGCTACACCTATGTTGGTGAAGGAAATGGCCGACGAAATTCGTCTTCGACGCGTTCGGGTCGCGTCATCTCGAAATCCTACCTCGACAGAAATTCCACCTATAGGCCACGAATGGATCTATAGATTCCAAAAACGACATCCAGAACTTAAAACATGCTATTCACGTCAATTAGAGTCTAATCGGGCTAAAGAAGCAACTCCGGAGAATATTCAGGCTTGGTTTGACGCGTTTCGCACGCGTCTCATTGAGCGAAAGTATGAATTAGATGATATGTATAATATGGATGAAACCGGATTTGGAGTTGGAAGTACTCAAAGTACGCGCATTATAGTCGATTCTACTCAGAAATCGAATTGGAAAGTTACAGCTGGCAAGCAAGAATGGATAACTGCATTTGAATGTGTCAATGCAGCTGGAAATGCTCTATCACCTATGGTCATTTTCAAGGCTCAGAATACGAATTCTGCATGGATTCCAAAGGACACACCTCAAAGCTGGCAGTTCTCTACTAGTACAAATGGATGGACCTCAAATAGCCATGGATTAGAATGGTTAAAAAGGGTTTTCGAACCAGAATCCAAGAAAGTGTCAGGTGACCGACCTCGACTTTTGATCATGGATGGCCATTCAAGCCATATTACAGGTAGCTTTATTGCTTTCTGTATAGATAATGATATTGATTTACTTATATTACCTCCTCATTGCTCTCACTTGCTTCAGCCACTTGATATTGCGGTGTATGGGCCAATGAAACGATATCATGCTTTAGAGGTCGATCGATATTCTCGAGCTGGTGTAAAGCGAATCCAAAGAGCTGAATGGGTAGAACTCTTTCAAAATATTAGAAAAAAAGCATTGAATTCTTCTAATATTAAAGCTGGCTGGAGAGGAGCTGGTTTAGTACCTTTTGCCCCACGAAAAGTACTCGATTCATTACCATTTAACTCCTCCCAGCAACCTTCTACTCCACAAATGAGAACCCCCAATCAAGACCTAGACTTTTCTATACTCAGGAGTTCTCCTCCAGATGGAACAGAACTAAGGCAAGCAAATCAGATCTTTAATACAGCTCTAGCAAGCAGTGGTTCTCCTGCATCGCCAACTCGTCGATATGCCAAGAGAATGACTAGGCTTGTAGAATCTCAAAATGCTGAGATAGCCCTACTTCGGAAACAGCTCTCTGATGCTCAGGAGGTAATTGAGACTCGAAAGAAAAGAACTAAAGGCAAAAGAGTCAAATTACAAGGTCAATTTGTCTTTAGTACTAAGGAAGTATTGAAAATGGTACGTGAGGCGGAGGAAAAACCGAAGGAGAAAAAGCCACGAGGACGGCCACGCAAACGCCCAATTGAAGAATCAGAAGAAGAGGTTGAAGAAGAAGAGCTAGAGAATAGTTCAAGTGATTCGGAATTGGAATTGGAGGATTGTGTGGCTCGTAGAACAAGATCGCGTGTAGAATAATTGAAAAAAGTGTCCGAGTTCCCCATATGTCCGAGTTCCCCATACGTTACGTTAAATAAATAATAATAAAGATATTTCATTTTAAGTATTATAAGAATTATTAACCTCTATTTAATTTATATCTCTATAACTATTTATTTATTTGAGTTTTTTAAAAACTCCTTGTAGAAATTCAAGCTTAAAATCTTTAAAAAAATTACTTAGTTTCTATTAGTATTATCATGAGGATGATAAAGTCAATATAGTACTATGATTCATACTATTATTATACGATAATAACCTCATATAGCATCATTCTATGTATTGATACCTTAAATGTTAAAAGTACTAGTTGGGGTCTAGCATATGCTATTTCAGGTCGTTTTGATTTTCAAAATATTACTATTCTAGTCTTAACTTGAAAAGTGTTAGTTTGATTTAAATTCATAAGGATATTAATATTCTAATCTTAATTAGAAGTGTTAGTATAATTCAAATTTATAAGGATATTAATATTCTGATCTCAATTTGAAAAGTATTAATCTAATTCAAATTTATAGGGATATTAATATTCTAATTTCAATTAAGAATATAAACAAGAATAAAAAGAAAAAGAAAAAGAAAAAGAAAAAGAAAAAGAAAAAGAAAAAGAAAAAGAAAAAGAAAAAGAAAAAGAAAAAGAAAAAGAAAAAGAAAAAGAAAAAGAAAAAGAAAAAGAAAAAGAAAAAGAAAAAGATTAAGAAAAGTAAGAAAGATAAGATAAGAAAAGAAAATATAAAAAGAAAAAGGAAAAGAAAGATATTTATAGATTTAAGAAATTAATAATAAAAATCTTAAATCTATAAATTTGTAATTTATAATTATTCAATATACTTTATATTATATTATAATCAGAATATAACTTTTAAGATTGAAATGATATATAGTTTTTAAAATCAAAATAATATATGATTTTTAAGATTAGAATATTAAATCAATTTAAGATTAGAATATTAAATCAATTTGAGACTAGAATATTAAATTAATTCAAAATCAGAATATTATATATTTTTAAGATTAAAATATTTAATATAGTTTTAATATAAAAGAAGAACAAAGTTCTTATTATACTATATAGAAGCTATTTATATATACCTCGATATTTTAATATATTAGTATTAATATATCAATATCAATTTTTTATTTAAATTAAATTAAGATTAGAATAACAACATTACTAAAAAAGTCGAGACTGAAATATCAAAAATACTAGTTGAGGTTATTTTGATTATATTTCTAACATTTAAGGTATCAATACATGAAATGATACTATATGAGGTTATTACCGATTGTTATATTACTTGAGGTTCTAAAAGCTAGAACTACGAAACGTATTACTATAGTGTCGGAAGACGCTAGCGTCAACGCTAGCGTAGTCACATGATCCCTGTCCCAACAGTTTCTTTTTATTAATTATAGTTAAAAAGTTATTAAAGATTTAAAATGAGTTTCAGATTTATATATAATTCTCATATAAATTAAAAATCAATTTGAAGCTTTAGATCTCTATTTAGTAAAATCCTAAAAATCTGAAATTTTCAAAATAAACTTAAAATAATCTGAAATATATATATAAAAGTTTCCAATATATTATACTGGATTTCGATAGAGGTATCAATCGGTCAAACAAGTGATTTTTGATATGAAAAGGTGGCCTAAAACAGAGGTGGCCAGAAAATGGGGGGTCCAACTTACGACTGAAATGTGTTTAACGGTGACATAAGAATGGAGCACGCAAGATCATCTTCTGAGCAGGGAGGGTATGGATCCATTTATGTGACACTCTAGTCATCACATAATAATGGCCATGAAAATGTCTGCGTATTAACCCCGCATCTTGTAAGCTTACGACAAAGCTAATCCTGACGAACAACTGGGGGTCTTTGAAATTTCCGACCGTCTGTTTCGAGGTCCATTCGTGGGGGTCGTGAAAGGAAATCTGACACTTGGGTCGCTAATCACTTCTCATTTCATCTCTACATCTGCATCTCCATCTGCATTGACATTGGTATTGGCATTGGCATCTGCAGATGCAGGCACATGGAGCATCATCCATACATTTGCAAAAATGGGTGCCTTCCTCATGTGGATAACCTTGCGAGTTTTGCTCACTCTAAATGCTGACTGCTTTTGTATTTTCATAGCCATGCGTTCATTCATTGTGAGATACTCTTTTCTTCTTTCAAAAGGAACGTCGGGATTGATTGTGTAGGGGTGGAGTCGGATGACGGGGGTTGGTTAGGGGTGTGCTGGGCTGGGAATCCTGGAGAGCATAAGGTTATCAAACATCATCTACCAACCAATGGTTGGAATTGGAAATTGGAAATTTGGAATAGGCTCAAAAGAATAGGTATGAGTTGAGGTTTATATTTGTTTCTTGGGAGTTTGAGAAGAATGGTGTGGATTAAGTATAGATAGTACCAGAATGTGGTTATTGAACCTCGAGATATAGGTTGTAGTAGGTATTTTGTATGCATTTGAGTATTCAAGAGAATCTCTCGAGTGATATTTGTTACGTTTTTCTCTTCCCTCCTATTTCTAAAAGTGGTGGTTTGTGGAATAGGAAAAAATAGTTGTGTCTAGGCATTTTGTATCTCTGTGTTGATTGGAAAATTATATCCCCATCAATCCACTGGAATTTTTGCTTTTTAATCCCCTAGACCGCCATCTCAGGACTCCTCGCTTATACAGGGATGTTTTGGCCAATCAAAACATATGAATTTCGAGGATTCTTATCATTTGAAAACGTTTTTTGAGAGATAATTATTAGACGCTTATTATTTTAATATAAGTAAATAATGTATTCTTTATATCTTGTAAGAACTTGTATATATTCTATATTTCTTTTAATAAATATTGAATTTTTAATTTAATATCTATTTTGATTATAAATTATTCATAAATTATTTATAATATTTATTATTTAATAATATAATTTATAATAATAAGTATAAAATCTAATAATAATAATTTTTCAATATTCATTCTTTAAATTTAATATTAAGATCTTTATTTTATTTTATTATTTTTAAAGTTATTAATGTTCTTATCTAGTGCACCGACTACAAACGAGTCCTAAGATGGCGGTCTAGGGGATAATAAGGAAGAGATTTGCCTTTGAAATTGAAAATGCTATTATTATTTTCAAATGCTCAGTCCGGTGCATATTTTTTATTTGATACGTTTTTCCTTTTGGGAAATCGCTGCGCTTCTTTTGCTTTCTGTTGATTATGAAAGAAGACAAAAAGGGAGAATAGAGTAGAGGAGTAGGAATTCTAGTCGTGTATGCCATTCGTGGGCTTTCTGGTCGTATATGATAAGATATTTGTTGAGTATTCAGTGTATGGTTATAACAAGAGCAGTTACGGGCTGAGTGAAATGGCGTGAGGGTGTCACTATTGTTGGATCTATTTATATCCCGGGAAAATAATTGTATAGTCAAAATTCAAAGGGAGATATCTATGTACTGAAGACATTACATGCCAATGTGATCATATAAGGACGTGTAGATTGCAACTTGAAATACTTTTAAGAGATGCTGTGTGGTAACAAGTAATCACATCTGAAGCATTCACACATCAGGCAGTTAACAAATTGTGATTCTAAGGGATGATACCACTCTTTAATACTTGTCTAGTTACATAAATTGCTTCGAATAAATAGAGGTACGCAATCTTGAGGAGGACATTTGTAGTCCTCCAGCACAGTATCACAAATGATGAGAATTCATTACCGTTACTAGGAACTGAATCATCGACTATCTCAATACCTCGATCTCAGATGGCAAAGTAGAAAATGACATCGAAGCTACGTCTACTTCCCTCGTGATCAGTGATCTAAAATCGCCGAAATCAACGGTCAACTATCCTGTAAAACCCAAAATAATTATCCAGAACCCGAAATCATACTCAGCGCAGCTGACTTTGCTCTCTTCATCGCTGGACTCTCATCGTACCCCTCCCAACTTCTCTTTCCATTCTTTCCATGACCTTTCTTAGTCGACTCACCAAAATACTTCTGCTCAAACGAAATACCACTCCGCGTTGCAATTTCTCCCGAATCCTCATTCTTTATCACAATTTCAGGCTCACCACCATCTTCAATCTCCTCACCCTCACGCGGAAACACTCTCAGATGTCCCCTCCCATCTTCACCATCGTCCCAATAAAACTCACACAACGCCTGCCAACTCACAACTTCCGTCGTCTCAACCCCCTCCACTAATCCCATCCACGGCGCTTTTCTTCTCCTTCCACCCATTCTCTCTCTCGTCGCCTCATCTGCCAACTCTGCTTCCAACCACGTAATCGGATTCGGGGCGTACAAAAATTTCCACTCCTGGGTAAATTGTTCATACTTTGCAAACCTCGCCAGAAAATCATCCACAGTCCATCCTCCTTGTGTTTTGACCGCTTCCCGTCCGCTTTGCCAGTATATTGCACCGACTTGTTCCATGCCCGCGAGCACATACGCTGCCTTTTTAAAAACCGGATAGGAGACGTGATTTCGGTAGCGTTGGATAAATGTCTGGAAATACTCTAACAATTTACTTTCATGAGCTGGATCCAGATGCGGATCAGTAAAATCGGCATGATGGACGCTAAAATCCCACGTTGGTGACGCGATGAGAGAAACGCAGGGAGCGCTTTGATCTGGAGCATTAGAAACGAGATGGGGATCGAGAGGAAGTGTTCTCAATGCTGCTATGTTGTCGGGTCCGAATCGAAGATCGGATATGTATGTTAGGGCTTCTTTGACGGTTTTCTCGTTGGTGAAAACACCGCGGAAGGCTTTTTCGTGGGCTCCGTCTTCGTTCCAGGAGGGGGAGTGAGTCATTTGGTAATAGCGTGCGGAGCGATTCATGCATTCGATTGTATTGAGACGTTGACGGGAACAGAATTTATCACCGTTATTGAAGGTGATGAGTGGACAGATGTAGAGGGGATCGACGAGTGTACCATTCCCGTGTACGTATTGGAGAGAGGCGTGGTTGGGGGAATAGATAGCATAGATGGGTTTTGTAGGGTGACGGGAGGAGACCGATGAGGATGGAGATGAATGGCATGGCGAGGAGCGCGCTGGGAGTTATACGATTACGGATGCTGTCGAAGGGGAGTGGAATTGGATCTTTAGAACGGGTTTGTTTGGAAGATGATCCGGGGTGCTATGGATGTAGGATTAGTAAATGATGAAGTTATTTTGGATTTTGAAAGATCGATCTACATACGTTTTCCGTGAAGTTATTGCTACTTGATGCCATTTTGTATGGATTTCGATCTGTTTCTAACCTATAGTTGATTTTTGTAAGTATGCCCATTCATGCGTGATTGAGAACCAAGATTTTTCAGATGGGAAGACTTGGATTTCTGTAAACGTAAAGGATAGTTATCACGATTATTAGGAGGGTATTGACTAGCTGAAAGTCAGAGCAGTTTTGAGAAAAGAAGGATTTCTTTTAAGGAATGTCATGTGCCAGTGCAGATATAAATATAAAGGTGAAGGGTAAACTTGGATGGATTCGTAAGAAGTTGGGGGTAAACGTGATTGAGGGGGGAAATGGGAAGGATTACCTAAGTAGGTAGGTAGGTAGGTAGACAAGCTTCTGTTCAAATTTGGATAGTGAATGTAGAAAATGGGATATATCAAACAGTATTCCTACCGTCTGAGTTCTATCAAAGATGGAGAAGACGTGTCAAGGTTACTCGTGATGACGAGAGTATATGGCAATTGCCTCAGTACTTGATAAGTTGAGGAATCTGGCAGCATTCATAAATGATTTAATTATTACTGTGGTCTAGTTAAAATTTATACTCGTGGAAAAAGTGAACGTTGCCCGGACAATATTCAAATCATGATCCTTCGACCCTAAATATGACCCAGGACCGATTTTCTCTGGAATTCTATTCCATAAAGATAACGTGTTTCTTAGATTCATCTCTTGCCGGTCTCAGCCCGTTGGCCCTGAAATCCGGGTCTTCGTATCCGATTGATACCGCTACCAAAATCTCCAGATCATCAGTAATGCCGCATTCCCTCCTCACCAAGTCTGGATATCCTGTCTGACAAACCTGCACACAAGAGCCCACCCCTCTCTCCGTAAGCGCTAATAACCAACTCTGTAACCACATACCAACACTGACTCTATCTGCATTCGTCAGGGTTTTATCGATACATACTATCGCCCCTACTGGTGCATCGAAGAACTGATAGTTGCGGAGGACGGCTGCATTGCGAGCTTTCAAATCGGATCGTGGAATACCCATCCCTTCGCCATATAGTTGACGGCCAACTTCGGACCGGTAGTGGGTGTATGCGGCAGGGAGAGGGGGGATATTGGGAGTGGATTCTGACGCAGCAGTAAATAATTTAGATCTGAGATTCTCCAGCGATTCGCCCGTGAGAAGGAAAACGAGATGGGGTTGGATATTTGAATTTGAGGGGGCGAAGCGAGCGAGGTCGAGAGTGGATTGTATGATGGATTTTGGGACTGGAGTTGGAAGGTAAGCACGGCTTGAGTGCCGTGCGATGAGGGATTCTCTCAACGTCATCTCAGAGTAGGGTGGCTCTTCATTGGGGTTTGTTTCAATTGCATGAGGCATGACGATATTCGATTGGCTCTGACTGACTGGCTAAGTAGTTTTTGAGCCGGATTGAACTGGTCTTGACTTTGAAAAGTATGTGTATTATGCCGCTGATGCTCTTATGGAAGATTTTGATGATTTCTAAATTCACATATTTGAGTGCGCCGCTACCCTTTTATATGTTTCTTCCCCTATGCTTTCCACGGAATTGTCAAAAGCTTCAAATACTCTGACTGCTACTGTCTGGCAATGTAACATTCAGTGCACCACGAATGATTGGAAATTATGCATAAAATGTAGTACAATTACATAGCTTTCTGCAAGCCCATGAGGATTGGCCAATGGAAAAGCCGTGGCTTACAAATACACACTTGTGTGGCCGCCATCCATCGGCTTCTAAATTCTCTCCTTTGCCGTCGACTTGGAGCACAAATTCATGATTGTAAGTGACATCGGTGCTTAGCGGTCGATTATTCTCCGACTTAAAGTATGGCTATTGAACACAGAAGAGAATATATCGGTCCCACACTCTTGTTCTTTGCATGGTACGCTGTGTACTTCATCCAGAGGCTCTCATGAATATGATCGAGAACATCTCCCTTGGGTGTTGACGGCAAAGAATGAGCTCATGACTTGAAGAGCGTTTGATCGGTGCAATGGAAATATGGCCTGAAATAGCATTGAAACTCTCCATGCGGGTGTTTGAATAAGTAGATTGATTGCTAATGAGTTAGAGCATATTTGCGAATCAATGAAGGTGCTGAAGAAATGCTGTACAACGGCGAGAATTTCTGAAATATTTCAAAGCATCACATAACCATGATGAATCAGACTTCTGATATTTGAGAAATCCATTGAGTGAATTGAAGGTATTGATAAAGACTTGGTAACATGTTGAGAGTAGGTTGTTTCCAAGTGAAACGTTGTCAGCATGTCAGGCGTGAGATGGGAGCCTTAAAAAGGCGTTGGTGGATGGATTAACCTTCTGAAGGTAAGACTTATTCTTGTTAACAACAAGACCACTCTTTTATTTTCATTTAGAGGTATCATCCTACAGTCCGTTTCAATATTGAACACCTAACGATTCGATTTCAATATTGGTTTAAAGATGGATTTCCTTCAGGTATAACTCTCCCAATTGTATCTCAGTTGAAGGTATCTTGATCATCAATACTAACTATGTCAATCCAGCGCCTTGCGCGTTCCCTCGATAGGCCACTATTCCCATGGAAGAAGCTCATCGTTGGGTTCTCTCTCGCACAATACCTATTCGAAGGTTTTCTCTCTCTCCGTCAGTATCAAGTCTTAAAGCAAACACGTCCACCCAAGGTTCTCTCCAATGAAGTCTCGCAAGAAGTTTTCGACAAAAGCCAGGTATGTTATTGTCAGCCTTACCATCTCCCCACTACCACTCGCTGACTTCCAAAAAGGCATATGGACGCGCAAAAGCACAATTCGGTTTCGTTGCAGGACTCTATGGACAAATTCAAAACACGGCATTCATCTATTTCGATATCCTTCCCAAACTTTGGGACTTCACTGGATCATGGCTTCTACGACTTGCACCCGCTCGATTCACTGGCGAGATTTCTCACTCGATCGTTTTCGTCCTTACTTTTATTGTAATTCAACAGTTTATTTCTCTCCCAACTTCAATCTACCAGACATTTGTGTTGGAGGAGAAGTTTGGTTTCAATAAGCAGACGCCTAAACTCTTCGTTACGGACATGTTAAAGGGACAGATGTTGGCATTTACATTGACTCCACCAATCCTCGCTGGCTTTCTCACGATCATACAAAAAACTGGCCATCAATTCTTCTACTACTTGTGGTTGTTTGGTGCTGGACTCCAGGTTTTCATGATTACAGTTTACCCGATCACCATCTTACCCTTGTTCAACAAGCTCTCGCCCCTCGAACCTGGAGAATTGAAAGATGGCGTCGAGGCTTTGGCCAAACGCTTAAACTTCCCTCTTCACGAATTGCATGTTATCGACGGTAGCAAGCGTAGTGCTCACAGTAATGCTTATTTCTTCGGTCTACCATGGAAGAAGCATATCGTCATTTATGATACTCTGATCGAGAAGAGCGAAACACAAGAGATTGTAGCTGTTCTTGCTCATGAACTTGGACACTGGAGTCGGGGACACACTACAAAGCTCTTTGGAATCTCTCAAGTAAGCATATTTCTGTTGGTTGTTACGGGATTGTTATTAACTATTTACAGGCCCATTTTTTCTACATCTTCTCCCTGTTCTCCGTCTTCATCAACAACCACTCCTTGTACCAATCATTTGGTTTCCATAACGAGTTCCCAATCATAATAGGGTTCATCTTGTTCTCTGATGCACTTGCCCCTATGGACACAGTCATCAAGCTGTTGATGAATATCCTCAGCAGAAAGTACGAGTTTGAAGCAGATGACTTCGCACAAGGACTTGGATACCAGGCTGAGCTAGCTCGCTCGTTGATAAAATTGCAGATCCAGAACTTGAGTACTATGGATGCGGACTGGATGTATGCAAGCTACCATTTCTCTCATCCAATATTGTCGGAGAGATTAGGTGCTTTAGGATGGAAGTCGAGCGGTCCAGTTGCACCAACGGCTGCAAAGGATGAGAAGACCGCACAAGCTAGTGGCAGAGAATTGTAGATGTACAGCATTCTAAATTACGAGGAAACCTCTGAATGGATGTACGGTATAGACTGAATAAAAAGATTTCCGTTAACCTCGCTAAAACGCATCAAAAATTCGTGACTTGTAGTACTTCGTGCTCATTATGCAGCGGATTGTTTCTTCGCTTCCTTCGCCTTCAGCTCTGCCTTGTGTCTTGCCTTTTTTTCGGTCTTTCGTGCTTTTTTTTCTTCCCTGCTCAATCCTTTGGATTGAATAAATCTTGGAGCTCCCTTTGCACTTGGCTCAATCTCAAGATCACTATCGACCTCCGCGTTATTCACTTTTTGAGCTTTAGCTCCAACATCTCCCTCCTCAATACTCTGCTCCCTCTCAAATTCTTCCTTATCCTGCCACCCATCTACATCCATCTTGTCACCCCCGCTTACGTCTTCCAAACCTTGCGCGATCTCAACTGGATTTTCCTCCTCCATTTCTAAAGTTGGCGCAAGCCATTCTCCACGTAGACCAGCTTCAACACGTTGAAGATTGTGAATCGTTACGCTGGAGTGGCTGCTTCCGACAGTGGGACCCGTAGGCTCGAGTTTGGCGTTTGGGAGAAGATATGGTGTGCTGGATGTGAGAGAGAGGTAATCTTGAAGGTATTTGAGAGCAATTGTTTGGTTGACGGGGATCGAGGGAATGGATTTGTGGGGTGGAAAGGCCGACGTAGACATGTTGATTGAGTCTTAAATATGACTAAATTTGGTCTGAGTTGTAAAGATTAAATAAATGTACGACAAATGCCAGAGAAATCGATTTTCGAAGTATGCAACAAGAAGTTTCATGAAAGCCCCGAAATTTTTTGCGACTGAGGCGGAAAAATGTCCGCTAGCGTAATTTTTTGATTTTGATAGTGCATGGGGATAACCTCGAATTCTGGTCCGGGTTAAGATATTCACAATTGTAGCAAAATGTTGTGTTTACGCTGCTCTCATGGTCTTAGGGCTACTCCAGTTATATCAAGGGCGCTTTCACAATCCAATGCTATCGTTGTGAAAAGGTAGATTTTTGTCCATTCACACAGCCGTGTCTTAAACTAACAACTTTACAGAACATTTACTTCAATCACGCCCCTCCGACCCACGTTATCCCCCTCCGCATTCAAACCCTCAACGTCTGTAATCATTCCTTCGGAAGCAGCACTGCTAGATCTCCTTCCTAAGATCTCAACGCATCCCGCTTTGAGCACAACACAATTACGCTGTGGGCCAAGGAACACGTTCAGTCCGAGTCATTTTGTTAGGAAGAGGAGACATGGATTTTTGAGTAGGATTAGGACGAGAAAGGGGAGGGCGACACTGCAGAGGAGGAAATCGAAGAGACGAAGTACTTTGAGTCATTAGAAGAAGGGTGTTAGTGGTTGGAATACCAAGAAATATATCCAACAATGAGAAAGCGGGGCAATATTAAGGCAACTGTTTGGGGAGCTAAGGATGATGAGGGCAATGGTGATTTGTATGATCGTAGCACGGCAAATTGATGGAACTAATGCTACCATGGCGGCTGTGCCTCTGGATTCCCACCCACATGAAGTGTAAGATATTGAAGATATGTATGTTTAAATCAGGCTACTTACCAATTGGGTGTGAGGACCTGGTCGCTCAAGTTATGAAAGATTCCTTCATAAAGCAACGTATGGGATGTTCGAATCGAAGGACGGCAGTACTTCAAATGGTGCGGTGAATTGCACAAACATGAAACCTCAAAAATGGGGTCTTTTGCGCAACTTACATTCAGATGGTATATTTTGCACCTTTCCACATGCTGTTTTGGGGGTTGCAAGTGTGCCCTACATTCAACAAAGCCTTTTACATTGACTGCCTGGTCTACATTCAAACATGTTTCTGGAGCCGAGCTTCACTAGCTTGTTCGCGAGTGCCTGCCTAAGTTGGGTTGAGGCCGGGAGTTTACGAGCTCCTACGGCTTTGCGCCTGGTCGAGTAGCCGGCGGCCTACCATCTTTGTTTGTCTATTTTAAGTAATTTATTGAGTACGGTACGGTACGGGAAGGCCATGGCCGTCAGTGTGGTTGGCCCATTATGGGTGTTACCCGCAATTTCCCTGTTATGCCAGATCTTGGGTAAGTGAACATTCTCAGTACATTGATACTGAGTTGAGAATATCATACGCCTGTAAATTTGAGCTTCTTCGCCGATTCTTTCTGAGGTGTTGTTCTGAGATATCTTTGGTGAATGTTCAAGATTTCAGTCGTGAATCTTCGACATGTTGACTATTTGACTTGGCTGTCGACAATCTTCCATTGTCCCTTAATATTATTCGCGATTGCTTTTTTGATGTCAGCCTAAATTCATGAGCCTCAACTCGATATCATTAAAATCTCAATAGTACCAAATTGAATCCGCTTTTCGTGTGGCTTCGAAAAATCCTGCTGTGGCATTTGGGTCGAGGTGCCACCAGCCTGCCTCTACTATGTCTACTTGGCAATATGGCTCACGATATACCAACAATGCGAGCGACGAGTCTGGCTCAGATGAATATAAATATGGCTTGTTGAGTGCATAGCTTGCAGTCTCAATCTCATCAACCTCACTTTCATCTTCCTCATCACCACAACTCTATCGATCTTCTTCTACCAAGCTCGCACAGAACACTCGAATACTAAAATATCGAAATATTAAATTACAAATATGAGTCCCGGCAAGCCTCAAAAAAGCAAAGGCAAAGAAAAGGCTGGTGGAGACAGGGACACATTGGATTCTTTGATTGGCGGGTACGAGAATACGAGCATTGGTGATAGTAAATCTCACACAGGGCATTCCAGAAAACATGAAAGACTCCCTGGCGATAGACATTTCGTCGTTGTCCGAGAATCTCCACCTGGTTCTGCTTCTCGCACGACACGAACAGTCACCCCACCGAGAGGCAATAGTCCTGCGAAAACAGGTAAGACAGATACTTGAATCCTCCTTATACGGTTACTAACACCAAACAGCTAAAGTACAAGAAAGCCCCAATGCCTCTCCTCAAACCAGGGAAAAGAAACATAAAGAAGCTTATAAAGCCCTCCATGGAAAATGATAAATCTCTTCCGCTTACTCCCCCCATCAAGAAGTTGGTCGAAGATGCGGCAAGAAAGCACGAAATCTCTTTTAAGGACAGGGGGGATATAGGGAGAGGGGTGGAAGGCAAGCAGAAAGAGATCAACTTCCTAGAGACGCTACACTGAGGAGAAGGTGGACGGACAGATTTAAGTCAAAGCCGGAGACAGGTGAAGAGCATAATAATCAGAGAAAGAGAAAGAGAAAAAAAATGCGTTTGCTAGGAGTCGCTGGCGTTATTTGGATCATAAGTAGAACAGGCATCCAATAGACATTTAGGTTTTCGTTAGTTTTACATTTTCTTGTAGACCTTCCATAAGGTATTACGTGCTGGCACTGAGGCGAACAAACGTTCAACGCTATATAAAACCGTGTGTTCTTGCATGAAATCAAAGGAAGTTGTCAAGTAATGATATATCCAAACATTATTGCATATAAATCTACCTAGGTAACGCCAAATATCCTCGTCAATCCTGCTCTAAATTTAAACTTCATGCTCACAATTTGATGATGTTCCACATTAAAATTGTCTCTTTTTCTAATCCATGTAGTAGTTAAATGCGCTCAGAACAGTCTTCTTCAAGCACTTCCAGCTCGATCTTCCCTCATTTTTTCCGGCTCCCCAATTACCCACTCCCCATCAAAATTTTGAACACTTAATCTCACTCATCACATTCCCACCATCTCCTTCAAAACGCCAAAAGTCCTCCGAAAAACACGACGAGTCCCCCAAGCGCAACGGGAGCCACATTCTCACCCGCATTAACGAAACTTGTTCCCGTAGCGAATCCACCGGAATCTGTAAGTGTCGGTATTGTTCTGGTGCTTGTTGGGGCTCTACGTGTGCTGGTACTATTGTGACTGTTTTGATCGTTAGTTTGAAGTTCAAGACAGTTGGGAGGAAAGAAAAGGTGTCAAAAGGATAGGAAGAAGATAGGAAACTTACAACGTCCCGTTGGTACGCGCGCTGGTGATTGGACGGCCGGAGGGAGCTTGTGCTTGGACTTGGAGGGACAATATAAGGAGGATAGTGAGGGTAGCGAGGGAGAGGAGTGATTGGTTGACTCGGGGCATCGTCAAAGTGATGTTTGATTTTTTTTAATGAAATCAGGTATAGATTAGACTGTGAGATGGGGGTTTCGAAAGAAATAACTCGCAAATCCTACTTCATTCATTATATACGTGAGTTGGAAACGCCAGATCACCCCAGACTACCTGCCAAAATTCCATTCTAGGAACTTCATAAACATTCCCATTTTTAGAGCATCAATAAAGCGCAACATTATCATTGAAATATGCGGCAAGATATCTTGATGTGTTTTGAGGGTAGTTTTACATTCCAATCACAAGCACTCCGCGCCAAACCTCAGGATAAAACATCTGAATAAGCTTTAACAAAGAAAATATATCGTCATGCTGGTACACACACAACTTTACACCCATTCGCATTACTTGCTGTCAACTTCCGCTGACCCGCCCAATCTCTAGCATCTCGACTTTCCATTCTCTTGTAAAGCTGCGCAAATTTTGCTAGCATATATGACGCCTCTACTAATGCCTTGTTCTGACCAACACAAGCACGTGGCCCTCCCCCAAAGGGCATGTATTCCCATGGGCTAGGTTTGATAGAGTACCATCTATCTGGATCGAACGATTCAATGTTAGGACCAAACACGGACTCAATACGATGTAAACCATAGAAATTTGCCCAAAGCTTTGTACCTTTGGGTACGTAGATCGGGGAGTTGCCATCTTTACCTCCTCCTTTTGGTAGGGTTGTATCTGTCAATGAGATACGAGCAAGGGCTGGGAAGATTGGAAAGAGGCGTAGGGCTACGAATAATCAGTTGGGGCCACGCAATAGTATGCTGGCAGCATAGAAACAATAGGCTGACTTACATTCGTTGATGACATTGCGAAGGAAGCTTAAATCGCGTAATTTATCGTACAGATGCTGCGATTCTTCTAGATCCAATGATTGGACTTCATTCCGTAGTCTATCGTATACCTTTGGGTGACGTGAGAGAAGAAATATCGTGTTGCTGAGGAGAACGGGAGTTGTGTCCTGGACAGCCATCATTCCCTGTAAAGCATTGTCGCGAATCTCGACACGATCATCAGTTCCTTTGATTAGACCTTGAAGAAGGCTTCTTGAGTTGAACCCATTGAAATTGGAGCTGAGCGCTTGATTTTCTGCGTTTATCTCCGTTTCGATGAGTGAGTCAAGATATGATTGAACTTCTTTATACGCTTCGTATTTCATTGACTTTGGAATGAGGAATTGCAAGGGACCGAGCATAAATGAGAGTCCCATACCAATGAAAGATTTTTGGAAAGCTTTCAGAAAAGCTGCAACCTCATCCGATCTACCATCGGCGCCAGGGCTGGGAGTAACCCCAAGGATAAACTTCATGGAAGTGCCAACAAACTGAAACCAAAGTCAGAATCTTCCCATTGCCGCACAAGTTTTCATCAGTTGTACCTACGAGACTTGCAAGGGGAGTTTGTAGATCGACCGTTGTGGAACCATCTTGTGGAATGCCTTGAAAAAAGTCCTGAGTTGACGCTATGAATGGCTTCAAATCTGATATATTCGCTTTGCTGAACGTAGGTCGAAGAAGAACTCTAGCTTTCTGCCATTCCTCATTATCGGTGGTGATAAATCCACGTCCACAAAAAGGTCCCATTACGGGAAGCCTATAAGGCTGGTAACCCCAGTCAGAATTGTTGGTAGACCATGCATTTTGAAGATTTTCCGCATCAATGGTCCTTATGTCCGAAGCACCCAAGTTGTTCAACCAGATGGTTTTACCGTATCTTATATGAAGGTTTGACATAAAGGGAATGCCTAGATATTTCAAAGACTGTCTAATTTCTTGTAGCTTCAAGTCCAGTCCAAAGAACGGATCGATGTGAGGGTAAGTAACAGGATGCTCGCAGCCATGCTGATGGTTCAATGCCTTGAATTTATTTGCTCGACTAATCACGACATATAACAGTATGGAAAAGAACCCCGTGAGAATGAGCGAACTAGTCTCGAGCATTCTGAATGCAAAGTTGTCTAAAATGTTCAGAGAGTGACAACAGGATAATGTCGAGTGAGTGAATGAAGCTTTCGTATGGTGCCTCTGGGAAAGGCAAGAAGATGTAAGAAGTGTCAGCGGAGAAGAAACCAACAGTTGCCAACAGCAAAATAACAGATCTAAAGCATGATAGCTTGGTATGTCAGAACCAGAGTGGTCATGTGCTTGATAGTTGGCTCTGGAATATGAAAAGAAGTATTGATTTATACGTCGCATTGATCGATACCTACGCCTAGCGAAGAAGAACAGTATATCTTGTGCCCAGAGCTTAGTGACACAATCAAGCCGGACTGGTAAGCACTACAACTAGCTCTTGATATTATTGCCATAATGTGTAGATGTGCCTCCTAACGTTGCATTGTATGCAGTGAAATCCTAAGCGGGAAGTGCTAGCTAGGTTGGTACCTATTAGCCGTCCCAAGATAAAATCCGATAATGCGAACTCAGAATCTGTTCTGGGAGTACCGGTGACGTTAATCATATATATGTGAAGGAAACCCAATTTTGGCATGCCTAGATAGGTATCTGTGAGGAAGTAAGTAACAACGTGGTTTATCAGTGTACAGCCCATATCATTATGCGGCCCACTTCATTTTACATAAAATTCGTCTATATGTAATCATATACTTTCTTATCTACTAATAGAATTCTATGAAAATTTAATATATAAATTCTAATTATATTAATATTATAAAAATCTAATTCTTTTTTAAAAGTTCGAATTATTATAATAGTTATTAATGTTACGGGAGCTGCCTCTAGGGTTATGTGAAAGTATCTAAAGATCTCTCGAAATAGTTTAAACTAGATTTCAAATAGGAATTCAATAAGGTTATAACTAATTACAATTCTTGTAATTATAATAATAAAACTAATAATTGTTCTTAAGCATAAAGCTTTATATTCTAATAAAACTCATTTGTTATATAGACCTTTATTATCTAGAGCCTTTGGGATCTGTATGCTCCTGGAGCCCGTAGCTTCTTAAGGCTCCCTTATATGATACGCGAATGTGTTATGTGATGTCTGTCGTAACAATTAAAGAAATAACTTTTTTTTATAAGAAAAACTATATTAATTTCTACTTTTAAAAAAAAAAACAATAGAATTATTTATATAAAAATTATATTTCTTAAAAACTGAATTTTTATTATTATTTAGGGCTTTTTACTTTTTCTAAAATGATTGTTAATTATTAAAATATGATTATTAAAAAAGACTTGATTTTGATGTATTTTGAAGTAAGCTTCATAGTAATATATGCTGTATACTAATAAACTACATTATTGATATTTATTAATTTTATTTAATTGGCCCAAGGGCCCGTACCGAGCGTAAGAGGACTCGTTCGAGACTCGGAAACGAAACATCGCCGCTTCTCGAGTAGAAATACGAACTGTTAATCATTGTACCGGTAACCACCCAGCATCCCCGCAAATTATAAGGATACATCAGCATTTAAAGATTCAATTACTTCAACATATCGGATTCAGAATTCTCACTAAAGATTAAGAGAATCGCATCTTTCTCCTAACCCAAACTTCGATATCTAGCTCGAATCCGCATCAATCCCTTGTCACACGGTTCTAGGCTCCTTCTGCTGTGCTGCATCCATTCATACATCAAGCATGTCTTCGAGGCATGTCTCGCAGCTCCGGAAATGGATGTTGGCCTCGCCGCCCATCGAATGGGGCATTGATAAACTGCGAGAGTTACTCATTGGCGCATTGCGACAAGGTCCTATTCCTCAACATGTGGCATTTGTGATGGACGGGAACAGGCGGTTCGCGCGAAGCCACAAGATAGAGACAGTTGAGGGGCATAATCTGGGATTTGAGGCTCTAGCAAGAGTTTGTTTTCTGGAAAAGATGTTGTTGTGCTCCCGCTAATACGATTTACAGATATTAGAAGTCTGCTATAAGTCCGGAGTGAAGGTGGTGACCGTTTACGCATTCAGTATAGAGAACTTCAAACGCTCAAAATATGAGGTAGATGCTCTCATGGAGATGGCAAAAGTTAAGCTGGTACAATTGGCGCAACACGGTGATCTTCTAGACAGATACGGAGCCAGCGTGCGAGTTCTTGGTCAGAGAAATTTAGTCAAAGATGATGTACTGGAAGCTATCGATAGAGCTGTGGACATGACAAAGAATAACGGAGAGTAAGTTAACCCATGTTAACGCCGTTGAGTCTAAGTTACTAACACCGTGTAGTTGCGCACTCAACATTTGCTTCCCATACACGTCTCGAGATGAAATAACAACCGCGATCAAAACTACTGTAGAAAACTACTCAAAACAAACACATACACAGCAGCGACCTTTTTCGCAGACTCGAATAACACAAAAGCTCAAGTCAAGAAATGTCGATTCTACCTCAAAGTCAGCCCTCAGAGCAAGCTCTCCTACTCCGTCGAACATATCCGAACCAGACGAATCTGTATCATCCTCCACAACCCTAAATCCTGAGCCGTCGCCAGTAAGCAGTCCCGAAGCTGGAGTATTCCCTGATCCCGAATCAATATCCGTAGACACGCTTGAAGAAAATCTATTCACTGCTGGGGATCCTCCTTTGGATCTCTTGATTCGAACGAGTGGAGTCAATAGATTAAGCGATTTCATGTTATGGCAATGCCATGAGGACACAGAGATAGTTTTCTTGGAATGTTTGTGGCCTGAATTTGATCTGTGGCAGTTTTTACCTGTTTTGGTAGAATGGCAATGGAAACAGAAGCATGTTGAAGAAAAGGCGCAAAGCAAAGGCATCAAGGCATCAAATATCAAAAATTGTTAGATATCCACGGAATTTTGGAGCGGGCAATGGCATTATAGAAGGGATTCGGGAGTTGGGATGATATTTGATACCGATAGTTTCCTGTGGCAGTCAGCATTTTCAATGTTGGCAATAAGAGGATTGTCGAGCACATCCTTTCGAAAGTAATGGGATAGATCTCGAGGTTTTACAGATTAATAAGGATATTCAATTGTCTGCGTCTATTATTTACATCACAATGATATCAAAAATTAAATTCACTTGAGCTCGGCAGTTTAAGCTTGAAAGCCTGCAGGCCACCGTGATTAGCTCAATCTGGGCGGTGAATTAATTCTGCCCACACATTTACCCTAGCAAGACCGGAGTGATCACCCACCCAGATCTTCTTCTACTCTACAAAGTTAGCATACGTCTTAACAATCTTGAATGCTGAGACGACTTGCTCGAATCTAATGTCAGTTTCCAATGGGCCTCAAAAGTTGAAAATTACACTCGGAATCTCTTTGAATCCAATTTGCGCGTGTCGCACAACTTCCTCCTCGATTTCCTCATCTTGGCCATAGAAAATTAGGTCGATACACACGATGAAATCCACAAAAGCACCTCCTTCGGACCCCTCTTCGAGCCGCAGAGCTCAGCCCCTGCGGCAAACACGAAACAATCCACCTAGATCCTCTATCTCTGGCTCTCGACCTTTGGGATCAAGAGGTTCGATTGGCGGCGGTGATGGAGTACCAAATGCGGATCAGACCGTCGAAATATTCCCTGCGATAACCCAGTTTGCAGACGCTATATCTGCGTTGCCAAAGGAACTCGTGCGACACTTTACATTATTGAAAGAAGTTGATGCGAAAGTATTTGGGCCAGAAGAAGAGCTTGCAAGACTCGTCGACATTGCGCTCAACACCCCACCACCGACAACACTCAATTATCCTTCCAACTCAAGATCAGCATCTACAAATGGGCTTCACGGTTTATCCAATATGAATGGTTCGTTAACAAATGGCAACAGCGGCCCCGCGGGCACGCTGACGGAGATGCAAGGGGAATCGTTCGTTCCCGTCAATCCAGCGTATGCTATTTATCATGCTCCTAACATGCCCAGAAGACGGCAATTCCAAGCATGTGCTAGTTATATGCAAAATATGTTAGTTTCTCTTGATGAGAAAAACCATGTCATCTCGACGGCTGGCGAAGCGCTTAATAAACAACTCTCGCGTCTCGATCAATGTTTCCCGCACATCGAGAACGAAGTGAGCGAAGAGGCACGACATGGCAGTACTACACATTGGGCATATCCCGAGAACAGAACATCTAAGGCAAATCCTGTTGGTAATTCTAGAAGGGATGCCCCTCCTGTCAATAATACTAGTGCTGCGGCCCAACAAGTGGCAGAAGAACACGCTGCGAGGAGTGATTCTAGGAAGCAGGCATTGCTTGCAAAGAAAGGAGCCAAAACCCAGCATGCAGACTCAGATTTCGATGATACCCACGAAGGAAGAAAGGCAGATTCAAATAAAAGACCACACGGAAATAGCAAAGCTCGAAAAGCTGCTACTGCTATTGCCGAGGCACCAACAAATGTTGGACTTGGGATAACGAATGGAAATGGTACAAATGGAAATCCTCCGAAAAGGCGAAAGGTTGAGAAAGTTACGACTGCCGGTCCATCAACGGAACGTGTTCTGAATGGCGTCTTTGGTATCAATGGATCTGCGTCAAAGGCCAAGGCAGCGAGTCCCAGGGCAACTCCAGCACCAGATGGAACCAAAAAACCGGCAAGAGCTAGAGCGGCACCGAATGGTCAAGCAAGAAAAAGGTATGTCGCTACCATGAATAGGAGAGCAAAGAATTCCGCTAACCAATGATTAATTAGGAACAATACGACAAATTCTGCGATGTCACCCTCATTAGCATCCTCCCCAATTCTAACTACATTTCCTGATATCAAACCTCCGGGGCGAGCATCCCCTGCTCCTGTAAATGGTGGAAGACCGGCTTCAGCAAGAGCTCGACAGAATTCAGTACAATCAGTTGCAGATACAACACGACAACCTCAATCTTCAGCTTCGAACAAGCTAAACGGAAATACGCCTGGCACGCCTGACCTGGCAGCAGCAGCAAGTGTAACCGGGAAAACTGTCCCAGAGGCAAAGGCAACAATGAAAGAGGCTGGTACAAATGGTAAG